TGGATCATATGATTTCCTATGTCTTGATAGCAATGATGAACGTCTAGGATTGAATATTTGTTTGTTCCATAGATCATCGTCAATAGAAATTTTATATTAACCCTTTTTTAAAAAAAGGGGGGGGGGGACGATTTCAAGAATGCAAAAACATTTACCTAATCTAGTTATAATTTATATAATGAATATGGAACTCCCATGAACAGATTTTAATATCAATTATTTATCTTTGTATAATTTAAAGTACTAAAGTAGGAATAATAAAGCGTTGATTGTCACGACAAAGACCATCCGAATTGACGAATCAGGTTTCATGATGAACAACGATGACCTTGTTTTTTCGGTCTAGGCACAAATTCTTTTTAAAGAATGTATCAAATTAATTAATTATAAGCCGAATTTAGATCAAATCAATAAAACGGTTAAATTTTGAAACAATCTTTATAAATATATCCCTTATAGTCACCGAATAAAACAAAAAGCCGAACCCTTTCACATGAAAGAAGATAAAGATGGTGGTATTGTCAAATAAATGATTTGTATGAATGATGAGTTGGAATGTTATTCTTGAAACAATAGATTAACGGTGAACATGATATGAAACAATACGAGGAAGTCTAAAATGATTAAATGGAACCTACATTATAAATTTTATAAAATATCGCGTCATGTGTTGATGGATTTATTTATTGTTTTGTTTTAGATTAATTGGTGTCTATTATGCGTTAATTGTTACGTATTATGCGTCGACTTCTTACGAAAAACATGAAACGTTGTTAGTAAATATTGTATAAACGTTTCTTTTATATGTTCTTGAACATGACGAACCCATCTTGTGAACCAAAAATCTCGATCCTTTCTTTCTACACGTATGGTTGCGCAACCAGATAATCTATTTAACTCAAGACATTAACTTTTGACGTAGGTTACAATCAGTTAGGAAAAACTTAGATACTAAATTTAAATTTAACTTAGTTGAGATGTAAATTAATATATTAATATTATTAGCCTTAGCGTTAGTTTAGTTGTGCTACAGTATGTATTAAATTTTTTTCGGTTATAAAAATCAATTATATATAATTCGATGTATGCTAGTTTTAAAATGTTTATCAATTTTTTTGAGATTATTTATTATACTTAATAATTATATAGAAATGTGATATGAATTAGTGAAAATTATGTAATTTCTGATGTTAAATGAACTGCAATCGAAATTTAATAATTTATTTTAAAGGTGAGGTAACATTAGGGAAATAAGAAAAAGAGGAACAATGTTAATGCTTAATGCAATATGTAACCTGCTGTACATTTGCTGTCATTTGTAATACAACGGTCTTTATATATCATGATAATAATTGGAGAACAGACCATATATATTAATTAAAGGACAATGGATAACTCGGGAAATCAATTCTTAATATTGTTTTCAAAATAAAAAAAAGTCCAATGGATCGGGGCGTCGATTACAATTGATTGAACAAATCAAAAGTGATCGAGCGACAAAAATTGAAGGAACGTGGACTTTATTGAATGTGATCTATGAACCAAATTAGTAAATTCGTAAATAATCTTTTATTAAATGTTAATTATTACAATTAATGAAATGTAAGATTGTTTGCCTAATAACGAGCTTATTTTTGGAAATTTTTGAAAATCACTAACAAAAAATTTTTTATTATTGTTTTTTAAGATGAAATCTTTACACTGTCATGTTATTTTATCTAATTTATCTAATATGAATCGTCATAACAAATCTGTGAGCTCAATTGTTCATTTGCGCCCTCATGACATTTTGCGGTTAGCAAACTTGATTTTAAACATTTCATGATTGTTTTCATAAACAAACCTGTCGTAAAAATTATGGATTAACAAAGGAAAAACATTTTGTTTGACTTGACAACAATATGGGTAAAAAACTTGATACAATGCTTGGTGTGATTTCTTCAATGATAAATGTGATGACATGTTGAAACGGGTTTTTTTGAGTGATATCATCCTAAACATAACCTCAAATGTTTTGTGATTATTAGGATATATTACTAATTTGACGTTATTTCGATATTTACCCATGGGATAATCACGTTCTTTAATGTGGGGTAAATTTTTCTGGGGTAAATCTCCAAAAAAAAAAAAAAAAACCAAATTTAACAAATATGCGGGGTAATACTCCGCAAATTTCTGAATCTAAGATTTTTTTACCTGATCTACAACCGATAAAGAAGTTACTTGAACATAGTATTTGTTTGTATACCTTTTTTTTCCGCAAATGGGTTTATTCAAACAATAGTTTAAACGTGGAATCATCTGAGAAGTTCGTTGAGACTACAATAACAAAACAGTTTATATTTTATGCAAGCGTCTTAATTTTGGATTTTCCGGGAAAAAAAAAAAAAAAAACTTTTTTAAGAAATTCATCAAATGCAAGAGGTGTGTTGGCAATCCGACTTTATTGAATAGCTTGAAATATATAATCAGCTTAACCTCTTTTGTTTTCGATAAATGTGAGTCAATCGGTCTTCCCACACAATATTAAAGTTGACAAACCCCGCAACAATTTATTATTATTGTTTTTGAAGGAAATGAAAAGAAAAAAAAAAAGGATGATCCGGCTATGTCGCATACGCATACATCAAATTACATACGTAGTATTCGTAAAGAATATATACACTAATGCCTTTGTACTTCAAATCCAGTTGGCTATTTGTCAAGTACATGTAATTGAGGCAATATGATAACCCCTTTGAGACCGCGACGCACAAGATGAATGGGTCAAAGCACATTCATACCGAAGTAAAATGAGTTGCATATGGGCATTTCAATGAGAATCCTATTCAACTATTTAGGTGAATTGCGCACGGACTTTTTTTTTTTTTTTTTTTCAAGTCGGGAATTATTTTTATTCATCACCTGGGAGCATCATGTGAACTATTCCTTAAACGAGAACGTTTTCCAAATTTTCAGGTCTCGGCTAACCTTTTTAACGTTAGATTCTAAAAAAAAAAAAATCTTTACCACTCAGATAACCAAAATCATTTTTCTTTTAAAATACTTTAATAAATTCACCCTCAAAAAGATTGTTCAAACATGGGAAAAAAAATTTGACAATTTGTTTTTAGTTTTGCCAAAAGAAATCCTTTCGAGCACTCTCATCGTATATTGATGTGACAAAATGATGTTTCGATAACATTTTACAACTGTATCAACACCATTTTAACGTGGTATTTTTTTTTTTTTTTTGAACATGAAAGAAAAAAATTATCGCGCGAGAGCATGTAGATCGTTAATTTTGGTCAAAATGTCCATCATTTTCATATGAATTTCCCCGGTACATTTGCTTATTCATCCAAATTCATATTTGTTTGTCATACCTTTTTTTACATTTAGGAAAAAAAAAGTTTGCAAGCTTTAGAAAAAAAAGTAAAATATTGTTCATGAAACTTTTGCACAAAAAAGTCGAATAGGATTAATTGTTAAATTAATTTTAGGTTGGGTTTATGATAATATTAACTAACGTTTTGGACGTTTGAATTGCATTTTATTGCCCATTCGAGTAAATGTGAATTACTTGATTCATCGCTGTTTATGCGTTTTGTTTTCTGATACGATAAATTGTGACCTCCTCAATTCACACAATAGATATGTATTTTCCTTTAAAGTAACAAGACTACCATAAAGGGAAGCCTACTAGAATGTGTGGTTAGGACATAAAAGGTGATTAAATATCTATAGATTTTGGTTGGGAGAACGTTTACCTGAATAATCAAAATATTTTCACGGATTGTTAAATATCGTCATAACATTTTTTCTTTTTTATTGTCTCACCTTATTGTTTTTTTTTAATCTACATTCGAGGATAAATTAGGAAATTGTCATTAAAAGGAATAAGCCTGATTAATAAAGGAAAATGATTTGAAGATTGTACTTATTCATCAAGGGTTTATGTGATGTCAAAATTACAAAATTAAATGATAACCATTATGCATATATTATGTTAGCTTGGAAAGGTTATTAAAACTTTCCCAAACAACGGTTGCCCAAACAATCGGTTGTTTTTTTTATCTTGTTTTTATTTAGCGTGGAAAAACAGTCGATTCAAAATAAATAAAACATCATGGAATCCCCCGAATAAATCGATTTATTTATTTGACATTGTTCCAATTTGAAATTTCGCTTGTTCCCAAAAAAAAAAAAAAAAAAATAAATGTACTTATTACATTGTTTAATATGTCACCGTCTATTGGCATTACCGTACACAGCGTTTGACGTTTAAGCGAAATCGAAAAAAAAAAAAAAATAAAAAAGATTGACAGCGGAGAACATGAAACCACAATAAACAATATAAACAATATGACTAATTTTCCATTTATTAATTTACGATTATTGTTTTAAACACAAGAAACACAGATCAACTTTATGCAAAAGATTCCCGTCAAAAGCATTCGATCTTCCTACAATGATAGGTCAGTCGTGATATATTGAATTTCGGTTAACCGGTAAATTATCACAATTATGAAACCATTTCGATTCAGAATAATAATTACTTGGATATCAAACAATGGTTAGCAAGTTGGCTTTGTTGGGGACACTCTTTTTTTTCTTCGCTTAAATGTCTAGTAATTCTCCCCGTGATTTAAATTCGACTCACGAGTTTTCTTATCATAATAAATTCGCAATATCGATTAAGGTTATTTGAAATATGGTATAAGTTTTTTAATTTGATTTACTTATTGTTGTGCAATTATATCTTTGTGAATTTTTCCAAAATGGTATGGGCGTAAATTATGGGCAAACATGTCGCATATATTTTTATTGCGACAGGAGATCATGTGTTCAATCACAATATCGCGTAAAATAGAGCAGATAATGTTTTTAAAATAATAGCGTCTATTATTTATTTATTATTATTTTGTCTTTATATGCAGGGTACCAAACAATCCATTCATGACGATGTTTTGTTGCTTTGTTGATTGAGTGTGTCGCGTGGACGTTGGTCCAAGCTCCTCATGTACGAGCCGGTTAAACCTAAACCATACGTAACGTATCGGGTGACTACTGATTTGATAAAGGTTTGTCGGATGAAATGTTCAATCGAGTCCTTGAAAGTGGTACGACCCCCGATTGGATTGTAAATCATCACCCGTGATAAGAACGGGCCGCTCATGTTTTGTTGACGCGATCCGTGAATGGAGATTGAAGAAAGAAGACCTTGTTTTAAATCAAACGGATTACATACGGGGGGCATCTTGTACGATAAACAAGGTAATCCTTAAAAAAAAAAAAAAAAAAATAATTAAAAAAGAAAAAAAATCATCACAATCATTAAGGTGAGGTGCGTCTGGTTATCAACATTTGTAAATCAAAACCCTCATTTATCCAATAAAAAGGGATTTTCCTAGGATAAAGTCTTTGTCAACAACGGAGAGAATGACCTTTGTGTTATTATGTATTACTAAAAAGTAAGCGTACATCGTGACACACGCCATTTCTATGAGTTTCAAAGGATTGTCATGAAATGTGTGACGTTGATAACGTTCACGATGATAAATAAAAAACTTATTTGACACATGTGAGAGAAGGGGTTACACGATGGTTCATGATATCTAGGGAACCGTTTTGCTGCGTAATGTTTTTAAATGTTCTCTCAAAGAGTACATTTATCATATTGTTAAAGATACTAACAATCGAGAAGTCCTTCTTCTTCTTCGTTCTTTCTCGTATGAATACAAAATATTAGAATCTTCATTTGGTCTTTTTTTTTTTTAAAAAAAAAAAAAAAAATAGAATAGAGAATAAAAAAGAACAATACAATGTTATCTTTCTGATATCATCCATGCCCACCTCTGGAAATTATCATTATATTACGAGAGGTTATTAATAAAAAAAAAAATGATTGTATTGTTTTTTTTTCAAGTATAGATAGGGTATTCAACCACCTGTCTCCCATAAATAGAGGATGGTATCACTTTAGTAAATACGAAGTTTTTTAAATCCGCCACACAAACAATAAATAAAAAAAAAACATATATGTAAACGAACTTTTTTTACAAGAACAAAGTAACTGAATTTTTTTTTAAAAAAAAAAAAAAAAATTTTTATTTATGTGGATAATCTTAAACAAAGGGGTGATATGTAGAGTACTGTAAATATAAGTAACGTATGTATGTGAAACCTCTTTTTTTTTTTTTATACACTCAATTACAAAAGTTTTTTTTTTAAGAAAATTTATGTCCTTTGTCTCTTTGTTTAATTGAAAAAATTCACTATAAAAAGCTTCAGATTTTTGAACGTTTCTTTCAAAAGAAGAAATATCTTTTTTATCAGGAAAAAAAAAAGGAATATTTAAGTTTTTTTTTTTTTTTAATAAAAAAATACCGAGTTTCTTTTTTAATTTTAGTTAATATAAAAAAAAACCTTAACGTGAGAGAATCTTACAATAAACCTTAAAAAATTTTTTCGTTTGAAACATAGTGAAAACGCTTTTTTTTTTTTTTTTTTTTTGCACAGACAATTTTTTTTTAACTAATTGAATTCTTTCGGAAAAATTAAAACATTTCTGAAAGAATTTCAAACCAATATTCAAAAAAAAAAACCACCTTGTTGAAAATATTCACTTGAACTATTTACAAGCGTTTCGTTAAACTTCACCCAATTAAACAAATTCGTCAAAGACCGAATACAAAAATGCCTTCTGCAAACAATAACCTTCAATCCGCCTTACCAAACAACATGAAAGAATATGAACTCCTCGTTATCCCACCACCGTCTCCAAAGAGTCCCACCCAACCAGCCCTTCGAACAAAAAGAATCAGTTGCAATCAGACCAATGGATCGTTTTTCTGGATTCCCGAGGGATTTCGTCCTGTTTTGGTGCGCACTTCGGATTTGCCCTTGATTGTAGGTTCTGAATATAACCCACCGTCGCCAAGCAATTCCTCCGGATACGCAAGTGGAGATGAATCCGGTTATTAAACCAAAAACTTTCTCTCTCAAAATTCGTTTCCTTTCAAAAAAAAAAAAAAAAAAAAAAAAAAAATTTATAAATTAACCATTCATTTTAAAAAAAAAAGTATTTACAATATTAATTTTTTTTTTTTGAGATCACTTTGATAGATGATTTCTCTTATAAAAAAAATCCTTTCCTTCTTTTACAGACATTAATCCCGAATTTTTAATATAATTGTGTTTCGATTTACGTTGCTCAAAAGCTCTTATTCAAGCAATGTTCCTTTTGGTTTACTCATTGAAGAAATACAATTATATCAACTTTTATATATATTTTTCACTTTTATCATTCTTATCGTCCTTATAGAATTGTAGATAGTTTTTTTTTTTTTTTCTTTATTTTTATACCCCCTTCCCCCTTTTTTTTTAAAAAAAAAAAAAAACGAAAAAAAAAACCAAAAAAAAAAAATTTATTTGTAAATCATTTTGAACTTTAAAAAAAAAAAAAAAACCAAAAAAAAATTTCTTTGGGGGGTCCAATTCTTTTGAAATTTTCTTTGATAATCATAACCATTTATATAACCTCCGATACTTTATAACTTTTCTCCGTCTTCTTAATTCATGAAAATATTCAAAGGATATTGGATCTTTCATCATGTTTTATAAAAATCCCTTCAACCCTTTGTAATATTATTTCTCTCTTTTTTCCCTTATATATATTAAATGTTTTCTTTTCTTTTTCAAAAAATCAAAAAAAAAACCAAAAAAAAAAAAAAAATCAACAAAAGACCAAAAAAAATTTTTTAGATATATAGTAGTAGACTTCTTTTTTAAAAAAAATTCCTTTTTTTATATTTTCCATCAATTCTTTTAACGTTCTTTTTAATTCAACGAACTGAATTCTTTGCATCCCTTATTTTATTAGAACAATCAACCAAACCATTTTTTATAAGCTTTTATTTATTTTTTTTTATAAATATTTTAACTACTAAGGAACGATTTGGCTCTTTCTTCTTTTCTTGCGTAAATCTATGGTGTTTACTCAATTCCATAATTTTTATTGAGCGAAAACAAAAAGGTATTTGGGCGAGAAAAAAAGCAGGGTCGAATCCTTTCATTTCTTTGTTCATATTTTTTTTTTTATTTTTATATTTTTTCCTTGTATTATATAAATGTCTTTTTTTTAAGCTTGTTTCTTCTTCCCGATGTCAGCATAATGATATGTATATTCTTTTTAATTTAGTTGTATATAGTTCAAATACCATAATTTCTTTGAGCTGTTTTTTTCTAAAAGAAAAAGAATTTTTTTTTTATTATTTTTGACGGAAGGAATTATGTACCGATATATTAACGAACGGTTTTCTTGGTGATTGGTTCAAAAAAAAAAACTTTAAAAAAGTTTTTATCTATTTTATTCAGAATTTTATTATTAAAGCTTGGATTGCTTTTTTATACTGTATATTTATTTCTTTAAAGGATTGATTCAAAAGAAGAAAATCTTTTTAAACAAAAAAAAAATAAAGAATTTGGAAATTTTTTGAAATATACCTATCTCTCGTTCGTTCAATTTGTAATTTTTACGTGTTTTGATAAAAAAAAAAAAAAAAAATTACGTGTTTTAAATGACGCAACGCGAAATCTATTGCCCATTTTGATTAATTTTTGATACAACGATAAATCAATCTTTTTTTTTTTTATTTGTATGGGTGACACGGTCGCACACGGTTGTACTAATGATGAACGGTTGCAGTGGGTTTCTCACATCTTAAAAAGAGAAATCCTACGTCTCTCCTAAATCATGAATCACCCACCCCTTTTTTCTTTCCTTTTCAAAGGAAAAGATTTACTTTTCAAGTTTCCTTTTGCCAGTTTCCCCCTTCCCTTGCTCACCCTGCTTCCCCAATGTTGTTGATAGATGGCAAATCCCTTCACAAATTGACAGGATAATTGAAACGCCAGACCGATTTTGTTCTTGCTTCTAGATAACAACGTATGACTTCCTAATTCGTGTGATGTTGAAAGGGAAATGTGCTACACCGACCTTAAATGAATCTTTGATTCGTCATCATACCATTTGAAAAACCTTGTAACTTTCTTTGTCATTGTTCTTGAGATGAAGATATGATGAACAAGGACTTGACCAAAAAGGAAATAATTAATACCTAAGCCTCACTGTTCGAATATATAATGAAAACGCGTGGAACTCATGATATCAATTATTAATATAAGCAAAATACTGTATGTCAAATAACATGCGTGGTTTTTATATATATATTAAATGTTATTAAATGTAAGATGGGTTAAACAACAACAAAAATATAACTATTTTAGATTAATTAAAAGATAACAAAGAAAAAAAAAAATTTAAACTTTGAATTCCCGCGCCCCCCAAAAAAAATATTAATTTTAAATGTACAACAAACATACATATTTACAAACATCTCGTGATTGTTAAAAAAAAAAAAAATTTTTGTCGAAATTTTTTTTTTTATGAAAACGATTGATTGATAAAAAAAAAAAAAAAAACACGAACTTAATTTTGGTTAAGTCATTCATTTAGAATCTTTTGTTGATTACAACGAAAGGTACAACATAAACAAATAATATAACATAATGTGTGTATATTATGACAACAGGTAGCTGTAAATCTTAAACGGATCCTTCCGTTAAACGGTAGGTGGTTAATTTTTAAAACGCGATACGTTACGTTTGAAAATGCATTGAGCTTTGATGTAAACATGATTTATATTGAAAAGGCTGCTTACGTTTTTTGTGTATTAGTAAAAACTCACAAACGACGTTATCGTGCGCTTTTAGGTTTTAAATATCCCGCACACTTACTTGGCAATTTGTTTTTATTTACATTTACATATTCGAAAGATTCAAGGTTCTCTCTCTCATCTTAAGGATCATCTTTTCGTTAAAGAGAGAGGTGAAGAGATCGGAACTGCGGCACCTCTTTTTAAAAAAATGTTTATGGCGCAGCAAACCCACCCCCCCTCCCCCCCTTATGACCTGTCATTTTCGTTCTTTCGGGTGATAATGTAATGTCGTTACATTCCGAATTAATCCACACTGGAAAAAAAAAAAGAATTTTAGGTTTTTTTTTTAGGATTACATTTTAAAGTTTTCTGTTTCGTAAAAAATTTTTAATAAAGACGCTTTTAATAGCTTAAAGTAGATTATATAGGAAAGGATGCACAATCTCGTGTTATAACATGCTGGTCTACATGATTTTAATAATTAAGTTGGCGTTACTGTGCTTTGCTTTGCTTTGCTTGCTTGCTTGCTTATGAATACTTTTTCATTCTGTTCTTTTTGTAATTTCGGGATAAATATATGTGTGGTTGATTATTTTGATTATTTTGAAGGAATTATGATGGATGTACGTACGGATGTGTTTATGTAATTTATTAAGTACATGTACTTTTTTTTTTTTCATAATCGATGTTTTAAAGTTGTTTATACAGTAATTAAAATTGAAGATAATAGCCTTATTGTTCTCTCCCTTCATATTTGGGAGAGGAGAGAGAAAAAAAAAATAGGTAACACTTGGCAAATGACGCGCATGGACCAATTTCAACTCGAACCCTTGCACAAAATGGTTTAGCCCTGTTGACTCTTGTTTTAAAATGTGTTAGAAAGAAAACGCTCGCTTGCCACTTCAATTAAAAGAAAAATTAATATATCCATAAATCGGCATATCATTTACGCATTTACCAATTTCCTATTCAGTCAATCCCATTGTTCTTTTGAATTGCTCGTGAGACATCCCAACAATTTAATTCGCGATTTTTCTGTTGTATAAACTTCCCTATACGCTAACGCTCTTTTAAAATCGTCACCTTTTTTGGGGGTATCAGATAAGAGATTGAGTACCTAAACGCTCGACAAGTTAAACTTTTTTTAATCAAAAAAAAAAAAAATGAAAATGAAAAAACGTTTATCCAAAGCTAAACCAGAAATAAATTGACATCCAAGGTTCGAACCCCGTTTGTCCCGTTCGGCAGATATACTTACCTTGTTAAATGCCATGTTTATCATTGGGAAAGAATCGTCGGATATCAAAAAAAAAAAAAAAAATGTCACTTTCGTCGTCTTCATTGTTGTGAAAATTGAGAAAATTATTATATTTTATTTTTTTTTATTTTTTTTTTTGTTTTGTACTTTTTTTTTTTTTTTTTGCCCGAAATAAAGATAGGCTAGGTTTGAAAGATAAGAGAATGGAAGAATTCGGAAACAATTGGAAGAAATTTTCCCATAATAAAACTGTTTGTTTGTATTTCAAGGACCCTTTGGAATGCTGCGTCTCGTCAAATATGGCATTCACCGTAGTTTAAAGCTTTAATTGGAAATTAAAATGAACTTAAAATGTAAAATACAAGGTATAATCGGTCATTTTAATAACGATTCAAGTTTAGTCTGACAGTAGAGTTAAAGTTTATGCCTCGTTAAAAAGAGACTGTTTCAAATAATTGGTCAATCATTGCCCTAAAGGATCGTTGTTTGTGGTGATACAAACCGAAATCCCGACTGGTTGCATGAAATGACAACTTCATTTTTTTCCTTACTATTGTCTTTACTCGCATAAAAACATTCTCCCTTGCATAACATGCTAAACCTACAATACTACCCCCCCTTTCAACATATAAGATGATGGTTAAATCCCGCCAAATACTTTAAATCACAAGTTTGATTATTTATTTAATAGAATTATATTTTGTTACGTAGATTGAGTCTTTATCGAGGATTTATGGCAATTATGTTAGCGCACGCGCGTCACGGCTGGGATTAAGATTCGAACCGCAGCAAACAAATGACGGACGTGATGAATAGGGCCGATGTAAGGGGAACTCTCCAAAATTTAATTTTTGTATTGTTCTCTTTTGATTTTTTAAAGATGTATGAGATGGACATGTATGAAATGTAAATGCATGCATGTGAGAATATACCGGTCGTATGTAAGCAACTGGTATCCTTCCCTTGTGTTAAAAAAAAAACAAATAAAGATGAAAGCATTACAAAATTAGATTGTATTGTCCCCTACCCTTCTCCATTTTTTCTATCTTCATAAAAGTCTAGAACCCATTTGTTTGTCACGTGTGTCCCATCCATCCCCAGACATTCGGTTCCGATTCCTTCTGTTGGACGATATACGCAATTTTAAGATGGAATTATGAGAAAAAAGGGGTGGATACGGGAATTTGGGAAATGAGTCGACGTAAATGTCGACAAACAAAAACACGAAAATTTTAAGGTTTTTTTTTACCCTTTTCTAAAATTCCGGTGACTCGGGTCATCGAACCTTCTCCCCAAAGAAAGGTTCATTATCCATAAGGAGTGATGATTTTGTATTGTTCTTTTTACATATCATAATCATGCCATGTATAAAAAAAAAAAAAAAAAAAAACAATTTCTTGCTAAATCCTGTTTTTTTTTTTTTTTGATCCAGTGACCCAGCATTTTCATCAATTCTCATTCGCTTTGACGTGATCGTTCACGTGATGGAGCACGAATCTCGTGGGTTAAAAATATTATCGCGAATTTTTTGTTAAAATCATTTCACCCCATGGGAAAAAAAAAAAAGTCTGAAAATCATCAAAACGATATGTCAATAATGTCAAAAAAGGCAATCGCTTTTTGACACCGAATCAAATCTGAGGAACAAACACGACTTTTTTTTTTGTTGTTGTTAGTCTCTTTCATAAAAAAGTACATACATCTTTAAGACTAAAAAGAGTAAAAATTTATTCAGATACATAAATCCATTGTTTTAATCATGTATGAGAGATTATTTTAGGAATTCTAATTAAAATTTTTCTATTGTTCAACCAATTGAAAGGAAAATGTTGTGAAAGAAAAAATAAAAACACCTCGCGTTTTTGTTTTTATCAATATTACTCGGTATAAATAGATAGATGTTCGCCCAATGGAAGGTGCAAGTTTCCTTTAAAGATACGTTGTGATTTGCTTGGTAAATTACGATTCAGCTTTTTTCCGAGGTTTACGCTTCCATTTTTTTTCGGGAGATGTGGCATGAATTTGCCTTTTTGTCGCAGGTTTGCTTAATCTCCCTCTATTTAGGAAATTCGCCTATTTTTATTATCTTTAGTTGACCGTATCAATCGCGTATCATGAAATCCCGTCAATTACCGACCGAATATTCATTAGATAATAATGCAATCAACCATTTCATAATAAGGAAAAGTCGCTGCCCTCCCCCCCAGAAAAAAGAAAAGAAGAGTGAGAAAGAATCCAAAATAATAATACATAATAAATCCATCATTATCTCAATTAACATTAATTTCCGATTATTCTTTGACAATAAATAATATAATGATGAAAAAATATCGAGCATATCCATTTCAATTTTCGATTGTTCTGTGATAATGGGAATAATTTTTTTATTTTTTTCTTTATTTTTTTTTTTTTTTTTTTTGATTAGATGATAATGTTTTTTGACCTAAGGGAAGGTAATTTTTTTTTTTTTTTTTTTTTTTCAAAAATTTACTGATTTTCGATAAGAAAAATAAAAAAAAAATCCAACAAAAGATTTTCAATGTTGCATTGTTCTTGTTAAATGAATTAAATTAATTTTTTCACACGCCATCTCAAGCAAAAAGGTTTTTGCTTGTTTAAAATAAATTATCTCATAAGATTATTGTTTTCTTAATCATTTTTTTTGACTTTTAAATTAACCCGACATTTTTTTGATTGAACTGAATGAACGAGTAAATGGAAAACCATCGAAATCCAAAATACAAACAAACCTGAATAATCATAACAATAATAATCTTTCGTCATGATCTGACTCAGCGATGACCCGGGGAAAGTTGCAACCAGAATGGTGAGGGACGCTTTGAACTCGGGGATTCATGTGATTGAGAATAAAAAGGAATGATTTTATATTTAGTCAAGTTTTACCAAAACTGAGAATATAATGATTGTTCCAAAAGACATACATGTGGCTTGACTATGACGACGATATCGAAGCCAAAATTCCTGCGGCTAAGGGTATTTACATTCATGTGATAGCGTTGGTTTAAAATATGCTAGATCCATTTTTTCACGGTCTAATGTTCAAAAAAGAAAAAAATGAATAATCGCTCTTTATTGTTCAACACTCTGTTGTGCGAAAAGTCGTGTAACCCTTGATAAAGAATTAGTAAGTGCCCCCAGATTTTTTTTTTTTTCCTCTATTTCCCCACGTTAATATTACGAATCATGTAGATAGATATGCATATATATATATATCCCTATATATATATTTTTCTTATCTAGCATAGTTAAGGCTTAACAATCATCCATAAGAAATGATGTATAAATATGGTTTAATTCAGAAAATATGAATTTATCATTATTTAATTTTTTTTTTGCGTTTTGGAAATCGATTTTCATCCTTTTCAACAGAGATTTATTCGTCCAAGCCCAATTTGATGATTTTTATGTGGAATCATGATACAACACCATCAATTAAAAAATAAAGAAAAATAATAATAACAATGGTTACTTCTCAACTCCTTAATTCCTTAATGCACTTAAAACGATATCATGAGTCATCTGAAAAACCTTCTTTGATATAAAGTTTTCAAATAATATGATGATTCGTCAACAGCATAACAATCTTTATGCACACACCATTTCTTAATATTATGAGAAGCGCACAGACCATTAGTAGCCTACGGTCTCACATCTCTCAAAACGTAAAAAAAAAAAAAATTGAATCTGTAAGACAACATGTATCAACACCTGCGTCAATGTAAGTTACTGTAATTTAATCATAACGCGTCATCATGTCTAAGCGTATATATTACTTTGATTCGATTTGATTTTTTATTGGATGAATTAATTTAACGTTTAAAATAGGTGAGGGGGATCGTTCTTTTGATTCTTTTCACGTCGGCGTGACGCTTGTAACCTTGTATCGCGGGGATGCTGTTTGTGTGTGACTTGATGATAAAAAGGTAAGTTAGTTTATTGTTTGTATTGTCGTCTTCATTGAAAATCAATTGTTTGGATTTTCTGGTTTAAGGTTACGTTGTGCACTAATTATATTTGTTAATCTTTTTTTTTTTTTGTATGAAGCCTTTTTGGACATAACGAGCGTAATCTTTTTTCCTTTTTTTTTTTTTTTTTCTTTTTAAAACAAAAAGAAAAAGTCATTTTCCAATGAATTCGGATTAAATAATAATGACAAAAAAGTGAGGCCATAAAAAAAAAAATGCGCTAAAACATTGAGGTAAAAAGAACAATATCATAACAGACACATATTTTATTTTATTAAAAGAATCAATCAAAGATCGTTTCCTTCTTCTCATATTTACACATGTTGAATGAATATTATTAAAAGAGGATTCAAAACCATACCAGCAAAAATGAGTTTCATCATGAATGATTATAATCTTGAATATTGTGCTCAATCAATTGTTTGTTATTATTCTTTTCTTTTTTAATAAAATTCAAAAAATAAACAATTACATTATTATTACCCATGAACAATTTTGATTTTTCACATTTGAGTTTAAAAAGAAAAAAAAAATCAAACGTAATTATATTTTAGCATATTTTTTTTTTCGGTTCAGCCTCAATACCACACGTAATCATCCGACCTGTAATTAAAAACAAACAAAAGATTGATTGTTCACTGGCGTCCCTTTTTTTCTTCGACTGAATTTACTTAATCAGTGTAACATAGCGCCACAACAATTGCCTTCGGAATAATATGTAGGGTTTAAATTCAGTTGATAGTTCTTTGAAAAAAAGAATTCCTGTCAAAATTCTGGTGCTTCATTAAACTCCGATTGGATGTGGCCAAAAATCGTTTTCTAGAGAGCAAGCCACAATTTATGTTCATATTGTTCCCTTCTCCATTTATCAACCAGTGAAAAATAAAAAGTTATTAAACTTTCCATTAAATGGGGTCAATCTTTATTTATATTTAGCCCTTGTGATATAATAATAATATTAAAGTAGATCTATAAGATCTATTGTTTAGTTCACCTTATTTAGATTTAATAATCCACAAACCTTTGCAAATCAACGAACGGTAATGACCGGGTAAGTCTAATATTGTTCCATACATTTTGCATTGTCTTGGGGATCTACTTTCTAAATGTGAATTCAATCAAAAAAAGCTTGAAGGTAACTAACTTTCTTTATAAGAGAAAGATCCTTTTTCGGCTCCACTAGTTGTATCACGACGCAATTCAAAACTGTTGACTTATATGGAGAAATTACGCCAAGTAAGTATTATTTGCTTGCATGAAAGCGAGAATAATATAGTGATTTAACTTTTTGCTCGTGTAACGTACGTATGCTTTATAGAAAATCAAGAAAAAAAAACATGCGGAGACTTTTTTAATTCATGACGTGCCACGCGAGATTTTCCCTTTGTACTCTTTTTTGATGGATTTGAAATAAAAACTCAATCATTCTCGTGAGTATTTTCGTCAAATCTTTTCTTTTCTTTTTTTTTTCAAAGGAAGAGAAGAAAGGTCTTTTTTTTTTTTTTTTCTTGATGATAATATATGGATTTTGCTATATATGGGTGTGAAATTACGGAGATCTAACGCATATACATACGCATAATGCTGCTTAAACGATTTTGGTAAAAATAAAATTTAGGATAGGATTTACTATGATAATTATGATAATTTTTTTTTTATTATTTTTCTATTTTTAATTTTAATTTTATTTTATTTTATTTTATTTTGATAAAGGAATTAATTTTAAGGATTGAATTAATCAATGAGTAAGAAATTATGAAGTACTTGAATGGGAAAATCCTTTTTTTTTTTTTTTTTTTACAAACAGTCACATGACTTTTTGTTCCTTTCGAAATTCAAATATCAAGTAAAAAATAAATAAATATATTTTTTTATGGGATATTCGAATCGGTGTTCAAATTGTAGGGATGTTAAGCGGTCCTAAGCGATCCTAAAAGTCCCAAGAAAATTACAAAGAATTGTTTTTACAAATTTATTATGAAACTTGTCTATTATAATGTTTTAATGAGATACTTAATGAAAGTAAATAATAAACCCTCCCGGAATCCCAGAATTTCTTAAAGTTTAAAATTTTAGGATTTAGGACCGGGTCCCTAGAACCGGTCCTACATTTAGCGGTCCCATCAAAATTGCCAATTTTGAATATCATTTTCGCTTTTTTACAAATTAATTATAAAATTTTTATGATGGGGTTACTTATCTTAGATAAGTGATTAGACTTCTCTAGAGTTAGTAATCTCTTAAATCATAAGGGACCGCTTAAAGACCGCTTAACATCCCTATCAAATTGAAATTTTCGGGTCGTACTTTTCAATTTTATATCACGATTTAATGCGTGGACGACTCTTCTTTCTTCACATTGGATGAAAATTAATTGCCAATTAAGAAAAATTCAGCACGGTCCTTCGGGAAATGATCATTACGGTCGGATCGGTTTATAACGAATTTGTTGCATAATGAGTGAGACACTTTGTAGCGAATGCATACTTGCAAAAAAAAAAAAAATCTCGTTATAGTTTTATAATTGATTGTTTTTATTAAAATTTTGCTGTAACTTTATAATTTGTGAAATTTCTTTTGGCCAAAGTTGGGCGTTTTTTTTTTTTTAAAAAATTCAAATCGTGGACATAAAACGCACGAGAAAATTAATTGCTTTGGTCAAAATTATGGTAAGGATTTTTGGTTTTGCTGACTTCTAAGCGACATTATAGTAAGGATTTTGGTTTTACTGACTTTAGCGGAATTATATAGTAAGGATTTTTTTGAATTTATTGACTATAGCGGAATTAAAATAAGGATTTTGGTTATGCTGACTTTAGCGGAATTATAGTAATGATTTTTTACTTTAGCGGCATTATTGTTACGTTTTGCGGGGAATTAAAAAATGACAGCATACAATCATCATAGTTCAAATAATAAAAACATTTTGTCCTGTTGAACTTTACGATAATACCTGCACGTACCATGTACGCCCTCCTTAAATGTACACTCTCAACCTACATTATTAATCTAAATGTACGGGGTACAGGTACATTTTAATATTATCGATATCGTTCCTTTGAAACGATATGGTCACGACCCATTTACAACACGTGTTACAAAGTAACGGTCTGACGCACGTAAAAGTTTTGCTCTCTCTCGCATTTCCATAATGAGTCATAAAATTACAGGTCAATTGGATTTATGCATATTTCATTGATGACTTCGTGCAGTTGGATCATAATCACCCCTACATTCTTGAATTAATCTCTTGATAACACGTGAAAGATCAAAGTAATCAAAAAGGCGGACTAATAAATAAATTTTTTTTAAAAAAAAAAAAAAAAAAATTATCGGGAAAATAATATCAAATCGATTGATTTTTGTTCATATTATTCTCATTTAATCAGAAATCAATAAAAAATAAATAAAATAAATAAAAAGAAGTACATAAGAATAAATACATGAATTTAATAAACACCAAACCCTTTTGTAGAACATAAAAAAAAAAAAGTCTTTTTTAGGAAAAAGAGGTTCTGGCCGTTCTATTCATGCGACTAGCATTTAAAAAAGAAAAGAAAATCCGGAAATCGAAATCGAATGTTCACTAAATACAGTATATTACTTGCTTCGTCAATCTAAATATTTGTAATACTTTCCTAAAGTTGTTAACCCGTAAATAATGCTAACCTAGTGTGGAATGATCATAAATAATGGTCACCGATCGAAAATGATGTACTACCTTTTAAAAGCACACAAGAAAAGTAGCCCGAGTTCTAACAATGACTCTTGTCATTGAATTCCCTTTTGCTTTACTTTTTGTAATATATTATTACAAGAGTTATGCTGTATCAATAAAAGTTCTTTCAAAATTGCCTATAGTATTACGGAAAAATAAAGGGGAGAATAAATAAAAGAACGAATTTAATAAGCGGGAGAGACCAATTTAGGAACGGTATCCTCGGGCTAATGAAATAAAAAAAAAATTTACCGCCTTATGAGAGAACGACAAAGAATGCCGAGAAGGTTCTTTTATGTATGCAGCAATCATCGTTCACCCAATATAGAAATTTTTTCAACACGAAAAGTGTGAACCAAAGGACACTAGCGTACCAGTTCAAACGTTCAGAATTCATGAGGCCATACATAAAAAGCTAGGCGCAAGTTGAGAAATCCCGCTTGGCTAAAGGCTTTTGTCAATGCCAACTGTTGTAGCACGCGAACGAGAGTTATGTAAATGTTCTTTGCCAAATATAGAAGTAAAAGCGGAAGGTTCTTTTTATACGACAAGAATTGCATCATATTAATTCTCATATATGTCGATTAGATATTGCATTCAATTTATAAAACAAGGGTGAATCCGTTGAAAATAAGACTTCTTTATATATATATATATTTTTTTCTGCAATAATTATATAGCAGAATACTAGAGAGTGATGATGTTAAGGATTTGATTGATTTTATTGAATTTCGGGACTTACTGCGCCACCGCATTACATGATTTGCCGATGAAAATCAAAAAAAAAAACGCGTTTAGCAATCTCAAACCACATACGCGTCACCAATAATCTTACTAGATGCATAATGTAGGGAAAAAGTCTTCACACATTTAACGGAGAAATCAAATTTTCCGAGGAGGAAATCATGCATTTATGTTAATTCCAGGTGAGTATGTTGATGATGTATTGTCCTTTTATTATAAAAAAAAAAAGAATACTAATGTATTCTAATTTCAAGGTCTAGGATTTCTCGTCATCTAGAGTTTCCAAGTTTTCTTTACTAGAGAAATTATTAGAATCATAAAAGGTAATTTGTTAATTAAGCCGGGTCGTACCATTTATAGATTCTTTGTTATTTATTGTACAAGGGTTACTAGTCTATTTTCTTAAACAAATTTCCAATTAAATGGTTTCAGATTTAAGCTTAAAATTTGAAAAATACACAACGTGCTTATTTTTAAGTGAAGCCTTTTTAACCCTAAAAATTGCTTTATTTATTTATTTATTACCCAAAATGTTCTTTAAGGAATTTAAATGGGGTAAAATATAATGCAAGTTTAAGTATAAAATTCTTTCAATTTCTAATCGGAAATTTAACTTTAATTCATGTATAACAATGACGCACCTTTCCTCTTTTCATAATTATCACATTTATATGTGTGCGAATTATTTTAAAGCAAGAATTAAAAAGAAATGATTTTTTATTTTTATTATTTTATTATTTTTTTTTTTCATGCATCATTCTTTCGCCCCTTTAGTACCAACCGAAGGCGCCAATAATACTTAATTTGACCATTTTTTCTTTCCTTACTTTTACCTCCACTCCTTTAATTTGATCGCTTTAAATTTACTGAATTTACTATTACGCGTTTAGGGTGATAAGCTGATTCTGCAGATAAATTGGTGGTTCAAAGATTAAACTTTTTAACAAGTTTAAGATGTAAAATAGAGCATTTTATTTGATTGGTTTGTCAGATTGTGTAAAAATCAATTCAATGATCATAAATTATATGGTATATATTAATTATAACGTATATTTATCAAAGACTTGAATCACATAATTGGTTAAATGCTTCTCTTTTTGTATATAACATAAAATAATACATCTTTTTGTTTGTTTTTTTTTATTTTAATGAAAACTCTTGCCCGTCAGTATTTAACAAAGGTCAGCTTATCGTCTGTCTGTACATCTACGTCCTGTCCCGATCTAAACAAGAAAATTAGTGGTTGACGTAAAAGGAGGGGAAGACCTTAATTTTTTTTTTCAAAAAAAAAAAAATAATAAGGTACAGCATGTAAACAATAAGCGAAGAGAAAAAAAAAAGGGTTCATCATTTTATGATCTTTCTTCCTTCAGGAGTTTTATTCCGGTTGCTTAATTTGCTCATTACAAAGAAATAAAAGATACAGCCACTTTATAATAAAATCTCATTTATTGTGATTCTTTATAGAATGAATGAGTAAAATGTTAATTGGTTCTTGTTTATAATGTATAATATAAATGGTAATCGAAGGAAGATGCACTGTGAGAGAGTGTGATTATTAGATCATCTTTTCATCTATTTTTTCGGTATTATTAAATTATGTTTCAACTTCCATATAAATTTATTTTTATTTTATTTTATTTTATTTTATTTTTTTTTTTTGCACTATGGATATGTTAATCACTTATTCTTTTTTGGTCAAAGAAAATGCCTACCGTATACGCAGATTTGATTTATATACGGCGGATGCAAGAAAAAAAAAAAGAGTGATGATAAGCGTACATATGCTGTACTAGCGGAGTTTTCAGGCTTCATGAATTTGAATGAATTACTCATCTCTGGAAAGGTCATCACGTTCATTGATCGTGTTTCGTGTTTTCTGAGAAATCAGTCAGTTATTTACATGTACAAACTGCTCAAATAGGTACAAATCAAATAAATAATAAAAATAAAAATAGAGTAGAAATAAAATTCATTTCAATTGATTTGTAATTTATTTATTTATGAAAGGTATTTATTTTATTTAATTTAATGTAATTCATGAGCAAAACGTACTTATTTGGCAATGAAAGCGATCTGATAAAACTAAAAAAAAAATTTTTCTGACGTAAAAAAAAAAAACGTTTAGGGGTGACAAGGCGTGTAACCACCTGATTGCTTGAACGGTAGTTTTCTTACAACAGGGGTACCAATAATTGGTAAGATTTGCGTCTTTACCTAATAATGGTTGACCTCGGCAAATCGGTTCGAGTTTGATGATTGGTTCGAAATTTTTTAATTCTTATACATGTTTAGAGCTATAGTGTTCGTAAAAAAGTCATAATTGGAAGAAATTGAAAAATCTTTTCTTTTTTTTTTAGCTTTCTAAAAAGATTTCATTTGGCAATGATTGATTAAAAAAAAAAAAAAATATTTTCCGAAAAAACCCATTGTTAACTAAGATAACTATGATTATGAATAATAAAAAAAAAACTGTAGACAAATTAGCTAAACAAAATGACCATAACCGTCTATTCCTATGTGGGCTATTTGTGATTCACCTGCTCCGTCACTACTCTAATTTTAAATAATGAGATTATCGCCAGATTTACGTCCTTTCTTCTAGAAAAAAATAATTAAATGTTTTAGGTTGCATCAAAGCGCAAGGAGCAAATATAATCAAACGTTTAGAGGTTTGAGATGTGAAAGGTAAGGGAGGGGTAAAGGTGTAAGAGACGAAGAAAGAATTTTTCAATAAAAAAAAAAAAATCGAATCTAACTAAACTGGTTCATATGATACAATTTCGGGGATAAATTTTTGAGGGTGCATTTTTTTTTATGATCGTCATCAAGGGTTTGGGGATAACATTCTTAGGTTTTTTATGTAAGGATATGAAAGAGGGGTGATAAAGAAAAAAAAAAAAAATTACATTAAACTAGCCTTTTAAGAAATAAGTAATTGCACAAATATATTTTTACTTTAATAATATATTTCAATTGCATTAAATAAAAATTATATAAAATGGTCGATAAATTAATCGTTCTTAATTTTTAAAAATTTTAAAAATCGAATAAAGTATTTTCTTTCGGTTTTAAAGAAAAAAAAAATTATAAAACTAAGGTAGCATTCTTTTAATTTTTTTTTTTTTCCCCTCTTTAAAAAAAAAAAAAAAAAAAAAGATAAAACGAGAAAAAAAAATTTTTTTTTTCTTTCACGTCTTTTTACTCCTTAAAAAGACCAATAACGGCAAAAAGAAAAAGGAAAAGAAGAAGGAAGATAACCCCTAATTTCACACTTCACGTCTCCATTTTATTCTCTTTTTTTGTTTTTTTTTAAAACAATCAACCCAGAATTAGATACATTATCAAGGTTGTTTCGATGAATGCATACGATCATTTCCGCTATTAAATCTCAACAATTTGTTTCATAATTTTTTTTTTTCCTTTTTTCTTTTTTCTTTTGACTTGCTAATTTCTTTTTGAAAGAGAAACACACATTATTACATTTCTTTTTATCCTACACGAATCTCTTTTTTTTTTTCCTTCTCTCTCATCAGTCAAATTTTATCTTATCTGAGCTTCCCCCCTGTGATTTCATCTTATTCGCGATTCCCTTTACATTCAAAAAAAAAAAAAGCATAATGGAAATTGATTCGTGTTCTTGGGAAATGAATCAAGACGATGAAAATAATAATTCTACACCAACAGATCCCGCTTCCAATATCACCACCACCACCACCACAACCATTACCACTGTAAACAAATCAAAATCATCCACAACGGCAAAACCCAGTAAATCGGAAACAAAACAAAAGGTTCCTTTTACACTAAAATATCAGCTCAATATTCGTAAGACCAACAACAACAACAACCACTTAATATCAAACGACACCCCTCCTCCAATCAATGTTCAGAATCGACTATTACAAGTCGATCAAGACAAAGGGCAAATTTCATGGGTTCCTGAAGGATATCACCAGGTGATTTTCATTATATTTTAAATAAAGAAAAAAAAAATTTTTTCAAACTCTTTTTATTTATAAATAATTTTTCTTTTATTTATTTTTGAAACAATTAGAAACGACGAATTACAAATTGCAATTCATCAAAACCTTATGACATAAAAGTACCAAGACCACCTAACGCGTTCATTATATACCATAGGAATAAATCCAAGGAATTGGCGAAATTTAAATCCATTGGAAAAATTGAATCGAACGAGCGTCATCCATCAAAAACTGTGGCGGAGATGTGGAAGGAAGAACCCGAAGCGATCAAATTAAGATATCAAAGGGAGGCGGATTTGGCCCTTGTGGAACATAAAAAGAAATATCCCTTTTATAAATATAAACCAAAAAAAAAGGATAGTAAAAATAAAACGAGGTCACAAAGCAGTTCCAAAGAGATGATAAAGGATTTAAATAATCATAAGAATAATGAAAATGAGATAATGAATGATGAAGTTCCTATGCAACATCGAAAACAAGCCGCAATGGAATCAGCTTTTACAGCGTTCGACATGCAAAGTTCTTCATCCTCTTCGCAGGAAGAAGAAAATTCCGCCGATAACATTTCTGTTAGTAATCACTCTCCACCGCACACTCCTCCACCGCACACCCCTACTTCGCCAAATGCTGTTGTTAACATGCCACGTTCACGAGCTCCGGCTTCACTTTGGATTGAACCCACCACAGACAAACCATTTTTTAATGAACATTTAAATTTCTCTCCTTCACAACAAAGATGTCAATGCACGGCTCATTGTGTAAATAATAATAATAATAATAATAATCATGATGTTATGACATCTCTGGGAATATTATCTCCAGAGCAAGCAGCGTTTTCGATAATATTCAGCAACGTTTATAAACAGACCGTAGACCAACTTGTCAATTATGGGCTAATGCCAATTTCACCACATCCCATTACGGCAACGATCGCTGATGATCTTGTTACGTCCCCCTACCCAACCACTTCTTCTTGCGCCCTGGACGAGAACACCTTCTTTCCGCCAAATTCTGCGCATGTGCCAGATTGGACATACGCGGCTGATTACGTTGTACCTTCTCAATCTCCGACATCATCTTCATCATCACATGTTGTAACTTCACCAACTTCGACAGATTATATGCCTTGGATTACATATGATAATTCTCAATTTATTGATCCCATACAAAATATCACGAATATTCCAAATATTGTTCCAGATGAAACCAATTGTAATTTATTTACAGATACAAATAATGATGATTGTGCCTTATTTGATAATTTTGATACGAATCTTAATTTTTCACTATAATATATATATATTTTAATAAAGAAAAAAAAAAAAATTTTTTTTTTCTCTTTCTCTTTTTTTTATTCTATACATATTTTTTTTTTTTGTTTATATTTTGTTTTTTATTTTTTTAATTTTTTTTTTTTTTTTGTACATTAACAAATTTTATTTATTTATTTTTTTATTTAATTTGGAAGATAATGATATTGATAATATAATAATAAAAAAAAATAAATAAATAATAAAAATAAAAAAAAAAAAAGTGAGGGAAAATATCTTTCTAGATTAATTTATTATATTTGAAATTCCATTATTTTCATAATTTTCATAATTTTCATAATTTTTTTTTTTTTTTGACCTATTATTGTCTTTATAAATTTTTCTAATAAATGAAATAAATCGATTCAAATCAAAAAAATATAAAAATAAATAAATAAATAAATAAAAATAATAATAATAAAAAAAAATGACACATTTCTAAATTGCTGGTTCAAAGTTCCAAAAGAAGGCTTCGATTGCAACCACCGACTCCATTGGCGGAAAACCTTAACTAAATAAGCATGTATCGGACCTTCGATTATGTCTTATTTTAGGTCCCAATTTGAAATTTGAATTCTTATTCTTCACGGTTAAGGTTTCACCAAAATCGTAAGTAAGAAAAACTTATTTGAGTTCAATAATTAAGGCAGCAAATATTTCTGTTCAACAACGTGAATAAATTTGATTTTGGATGAACTTTAAGGTGAATGACCTTAGGCTAATAATCAAGATCCATACCATGATGTATGTGAGTGGTGCTTCCAAACAATTCCTGTTGCGACCCGCTATCTGTTCTTTGCTGCTTCCTTTGCTGATAGTTATGCCTTTTTTGGGTTCATTCATGTTTTGTTTTTTAAATTCTAACCGCTTCGACATCACCAAAAATTAAAGCAAGTCATTAAATTGCATGAGTGCACGATAAGTATTAATGTGCATCAAGTTTATCATAATATAATAATAATCAACATTTAACATCTCCATACGAGAAATCACATGAATCGATTTTTGCATAAGAACAAACCATTATTCGATCGGTTGAAAGATGCAAAGGATCATGACATAATCATCTTGAAAACCACTATCCATTATTAATCAATAATGTCAAATCCTGTAATTGTAATCCCGTTAAATCCGTTTAACCTGAGACATTTTTTTTTTTTTACCTTCTCATCTCAGTATATTTCTTTTTTTTCGTCGGCGAATCTGAGAGTATTTACATCACATAGATAGCATACATAGGCATCTTGCATGAAAAAAAATTTTTTTTTTTTCTGTCGTAACATAAGAAATTAAGGTGTGATGTTGTTTATATTTTTATTTGTGATAAAACGATTAGGAATTAAAAATAAAATTAAAGATAAAAATAAAAAATAAAAATAAAAGAATCCAAAAGATGTTGTGCTACATGATAAAAGACCTAAAGTTCAAAAATTCAGTACCAACCGTTATTCTCCCTTTGAAGGACACGTTTTCCCTTTATTCTTTTGACATTTTCGTTATAAAAAAACAAATAATTGGCACACAATATTAAAAAAATTAAAAAAAGAATACTATTGTTAATAAGCAACGTACGTTTGGTACGTTTTTGGTGGTCCAAATTGATGAGATTTTTACAATAAGGGAAAAAAAAAAAAAAAAAAAGGTTTTAACTTTCAGATTTCGTAATACCTTAAAAGGCTTGCGACGAAAGATAAATAAACCCTAAACAAATAAATCTGCTAATGTTATATAATAAAGCAAACATGATAGGTTATCATCATATCACATTTATAATCACATCAAAATTAGTTTTTATGAAATGCAGCGTTTCTGTGTTGATCATACAAAATAGTCGGCTAAATTAATCATGTATGTATATCCCTAAATTTTTTCCCGCCTTTTTTTTTTTTTTTTTTAAAAAAAATATTCTTAAATCTCGGAAACCATATCCTGAATTTTTGTATTTTTGACTAATTAAATCTCATCCCTTAAATAAAGTAACATCATCTGAAAATTTTTTTAAGAAGAAAAGATCGACTATTTATTTTTATTAAAAATATAGGGGGAATTTTTTTTTTTTTTTTTTTTGCATTGTTTTAGGAAAAAAGAAAAAAAGAAAAAAATCTAGGTTTTCTGAAATCACCAATTTTAAACTGTTACAAACAGTGCACATGTTTCTTTATTCTTCCTTTTTTTTTTTTAGGTTCATTAGAACAAAAAAAATTATAAGCCGTATTTCTTAAAAAAATTCAACACACCAAATCAGGATACTATGATAATCCGATAAACAATAATATAAAAGTCGAACCCCACACATATATCTTCTGCGTAAAAGAAAGAAAGAACAAGAAAAAAAAAAATATCTTATTCGTCTTTAATTCTTTCTTTATACGGTACATCCCTTATGCAGAGTAAAAACAAACACCCTTGCTCTCCTCTTTATAAAGTCGAAAAACATCAAATGATCCATTTTAACCGACCGATTAGGTAATCCAAAATGAAAACAATCAGTTTTTCGCCTTTGTATAAGGTCTATAAAGGAAGTATATACTTCTGTTCCTTTCTTTTGAAATCAAAATTACACAAAATTTATTAATTCATTCTTGTATTGTAAATAAAGGTTGATTTTTAAACAAGAAAATTATACGATCAACCCCCTAATTCATCCCATTAAGATTTCTGATTCATTCCAAATATGATAATAATTACGGAAAAAGACGACACTGGTGTTCAATTCCACACGAATGAAAATTTTTTTTCTAAATAATAAAAGTATTTGATTGTTATTAATATATTAATGAACAAGTATCCATTAAAAATGAACGAACTTTTTTTTTTTTATTTCTTTATCACAACACAAGGTAATCCATATGATCAAAGAATTCAACAAGATGCGATAAATTATTGTCGTGTTTGCATAAAGTGCTATTCCAAATAAGATTTTCTGCATGTTGTAAGGTCTCGTATTTGTTGACCTTTGTGATCTTTAACGTTTCGCTACATGTTTTTAAATGTTCCGCGATATTTTTATCACAAGTCACTTATCATACATGGTTCATATCACGCCATTAGAGATTTCATCATAGGTAGGATAAAAAAGTTGTTGTGCGCCCGTAATACCTTGAGCAAAAATTGACCCTAAATCCATGAATCACACCCTAATCCATTTATTTATTATAATAATAATAATAATAACAGAAACAAATTAAAAATTTTTTTTTGTATCTTGTTGCTCAACATTCGCGTAAGTATATATTTCGGAAATTATCAGAGATTTTTCATATCTATTTATATTGTCAAATGCGGATCTCATAATGACCATTTAATAATCGTTAGAACCTATGACCGTCCGTTCTTCTCATTTGGATATACATTGGAGCCGGGCGCTCTCGGATTTAGCTATCGAGGGGGAGTGAGAAGGATTAGGGATCATAATAACGCGTTGTGATGGTATGACTTTAAAAGAAATTAACGTTAATTTTGCTGTGTTATCTTGGTCGTGTTTGGGAAAAAAAAGAAGGAAATTAACGACGTTAAATAGACTTAATGCAGTATGTCAAAAGTACTTAATTTCAGTTTTTGTTTTTTATTGGTTCTTGCGTCGGAAAATCATCTTTGAATAAGCTATGTTGTCTTTCCCATTTACCACATGTAAATAAAGGTCGATCTCTATTAACTCGCTACTTTTGAAATTTTCGTCAATCAAATTAGTAATCTCTAGTTCCTTACATGGTAATGCGGACCGGAGCTATTTCAACAGTTAATTTTCCATTTTGCATCTGCGTTACTATTGGATGTTGATCCACTAGGACAAAAAGTTCAAACTTGCATAGGTTGATTCCCCCCCGAATTTAATTTGTACGTCTTTTGGACTATTAAAAAAGTAATTTGAGACCTTTTACTTTTTTTTTTTTTACATTTTCAAACGTCGTTAAACATTGCGTATCACATTTTTCCCAGTTTACGTTTAAAAAAAAGAAAATATTTGTTATTATTATTATATATGCATCATCTGTCCAATGTATTCTTTCGTTTCACACCTTTTTTATTTTACTCATATCCCTGAACCTTCTTATTATCGAATTTATCAATTAAAATGACAGTTTTGAATGAACAAAGTTCCGTCAATTATACAAATGCTTCCTGATGGCTTCATTGTTTAGGAAAAAAAAAATTTTTTTGGCCCCGAAGAAAAAACGCGAGATATGATACACCTTATCCCTTATCTTATGTTTATTTCCACTTTTCAAAAAGGAATCCTCTTATCGCTTATTTATTTGTGTATTTACCATTTAACAAATTTTTTTTTTTTTTTAAAAAAAAAGCCACACCTTCTTGATCAGTATCCTGTGCGCACATTTTACCTATTATTATTTATTATTATTATTGTTGTTGTTGTTGTTATCAAATTTCTCATCAAATGGTATCATCCTGTTTCGTAAAAATAATAAGGGTTCATGTGTCTGCTCATTGTTTATTGAACTCTTGAATTTTCCACCCTAACGCGATCCCCCTTTACGAATGAAATTTTTTAAGCAATTAACTCACGGCATGGCAAATTGAATTTTTTTTTTTTGGCGGGAACATGATGGTTACAATGTTTTGCATGAAACATAATTTTTCTTGTGTGTTTGTTTTTTACTTTAAAAAAATAGTTTTTTTTTTTTTTTTTATCCAATCCAATAAAACCAATTAATTTTGTATATTCGGATGTGTATATATGTAGTAGATTGATTAATTAATTACCCTTGATATCACATTTCTTGATCATCGGATATTTTTTTGGCGATTGACCTTTTTTTTTTAGCATTTTTTTTTTTTGATCTTCGGGTAAATGAGGTAAATTCTTGAAATATGCTTGGTACCTTGGCGCGACAAAAACAATAATAATTACCCTGCATATTTATTACTACTAATAATACGCGAGAGTGAGATGTTATAGGGTCATATTTATCGAATCTACCGTGTATCAAAAAAAAAAAAAAATTTGTAAAACTTGATCCCGAATTAAATAAGCAAATTAATCATTTCAACCTCCGTCGTTTAAAAAAGAAAAAAAAAATCAAAAGAAAGTATATACACACGCATACACACACCGGTTGTTATGTTATGATATGCGTCCGTATTTTTTTTAAAAAAATGATTCGCCTTTGGCGTGAGGCGGCGATTCGAACGAGAGAGCGGTGATAACGAGATTCGTCAACCCTTAAACGCACATCACGAACTTATGAGGTTTATCTATTTTTTTTTCCTATTAAGATGGTGCCTTTTGACAAGGGTGAGCCGACATCCAATATTTTTAGGGGTCAGGGAAATTCCATGTCTTACCTGGGGTGGTACCCTCGGAAAAGTATCCGGTGAAGGAAATTATTTTTTTTTTTTTTTAATGTTTCTCAGGATTTGTAATATAATTGACATGTTCATATAAATTAACATAATGATTTACATAATTTAAAAAAAAAATAAACCCTGAATTCCGAAGATTTAATCGTTATAGATTTTATTGTTGTGTGACGACAATTAGTTCAGTTTAGGTAAGAAAATAAATAACAATGATCGATTTTATTATACAATCAATATAAATTTTATTATAGCACAAAATCTGAAACCTATCTATATTCGTATGAATAAACATATATACATACGTAACGTTACAGGTTGTAAATAAAATTTATTAATTGACTGGGTACGTTTTACTATTTTTCCAAGGGTTGGTGCATATATTATTAACCTAGTACCCTAGTGAAGATTTACATATAAAAAAAAGCCATGATTTCATTACCTTTTTTTGTTAAATCAAAATTATTATACCGCATCTTACAATTCCACTTTTTTTATATCGCTATTATTCAACTTAAGTACCGTGATATATATTTTCTTAGTCAAAGGGTTGAAATACAAGAATATGTTCATGATAATGATATTATTCTACTAAGAAGCTCCAGTGGTGTAGTGGTTATCACGCGTGCTTCACACGCACGAGGCCCTCGGTTCGATCCCGAGCTGGAGCAACTTGTTATTTTAAAAAATCGACCATATGATATTTACGATCTTTTTCTAATTTTTTATTTTGCATGTGACTTTTCATAACATAAAAAAAAAAATAAAAATTGATTTAATTTTTTTATTTTAATCTTAATGGATTTATTTTATCTTAAAAAAAAAAAAATTTTACATTATCAATTCGCATAAAAAAAAAGAATACCCGATCACCTTTTTACCTTTTTTATTTAATCTAATTTTTTAAATTAATCGATACGCATAAAAAAAATATATCATGAAATCCATCATTTGACAAGGAAAGAAAAAAGAATCGAGGTGATCGGGGAAAAAAACAAATTTACAATTGTTCATTTTGTTATAAATCCTCCGAAAAAAAAAAGGGGGAAGAAAAACGTATCAAAAAGGATGAAAAAAGAAAAAAAAAAGAAAGGATAAAAACCCCAATGTCCGTCTAATTTTTGTGGTGTTATAAATTTACAAAGAGGAGAGTTTTTTTTTAAAAAAAAAAAAAAAAAAAAAAAAATCGTGCGCCCTCAAAAGCAAAATAGTTACTAACTAAGCAGGGAACACTATTGTCTAAGGAAGCTGGAGACTAGAAATTTAAAGATTTCTTTTTTTTTTTTTTTTTTTTTTTTTTTTTACAGTTTCTATTTTGCAATCAATATATATATTTGTTGAAAGTAGGTACCATCATCTTTCGTTTGATGCTTTATATGTTTTGTCTATAAGGACGCTAATGTAATTTAGATAATCTTAGGTTTAATATCAAATGATATTATCTATATTAAAAATGATATTAGGTAATGTATGTCAGAGCCCTAAAATGTAGTAAGTAGTATGTATTGATACTGTATTTATTGTGAGTCTATGTCTGGTTCCTGACGCCATTCGATATATATCTCTTAACCAGGAATTCTAAAATCTTTTTATCAAGGTCTATGGCCACCTTCTCTACTTCTCTGATTTGGTTCTCGTCCAAAAATATCAACGAATCCTTCACGACCACTGTGTCTCATCACATCAAATATGTCTCTCGCGTTAACAGGTGTACCGAGTGGATCAAAATCTTCATTCATATCATCACTGCTCCCAATTTCATGATGACGATTACTTCGAATGTCATCTTGAAGGAACATATGACGACGATGATTATGAAAGTGTGAATGATGATGATAATGTAGATGATGATGATGATGCCTGTCATCATTATCATCGATACTACTATCAAGAATTTCATAATCCTCATCGGGAGGAGTTGGCGTCGACGGAAACGGTGGAGGAAGAGCTATAAAACGTAAATGACCCCCATCATGAACGTTTAAGGGTGGACTTGGCTGTGGGAATACACGAGCGGGAATATTACCAAACTGAAAGTGATTATCTGTCATGGGGAAATGATGATTTAAAGGGTTGTCGGATAACCTGCATATCTGAACGGGTTGATTATTTTGATGTTGTATTTGAACCTGATAACGAGGTTGATTTGGTTGTCCGTCCTATTAACTCAAAGAAATTTGAGTCTGTAAATTCATTAAAGTACAAGAGAAAGAATTGAAAAACACAAGCTTAATTCGTAAAGAAAAAGTTTGAATAATAAATTTTACCTCAATGGGTTCAGGAATGTTTGGTGTCATCCCTGACACGGACTTTACGGCGATTAGGATACCACCCCGATATGAATTAAGGTTCTCGATTTCTGATTGATAAACGAACGCCAACCTATTAATGGTTAAAAAATGTACGCATTGAGTGGGTGGGTAAACGGGAGATTTGGATGAAATTTTTAAACACGACTGACCTTGAACTTTCTTCGGATTCATATATATTTTTAATACTGGTGTCAACCTCTTGTTCAGCCCTTTCTAACTCTTGCGTCGGAAAATCATCTTTGAATAAGCTATGTTGTCTTTCCCATTTACCACATGTAAATAAAGGTCGATCTCTATTAACTCGCTACTTTTGAAATTTTCGTCAATCAAATTAGTAATCTCTAGTTCCTTACATGGTAATGCGGACCGGAGCTATTTCAACAGTTAATTTTCCATTTTGCATCTGCGTTACTATTGGATGTTGATCCACTAGGACAAAAAGTTCAAACTTGCATAGGTTGATTCCCCCCCGAATTTAATTTGTACGTCTTTTGGACTATTAAAAAAGTAATTTGAGACCTTTTACTTTTTTTTTTTTTACATTTTCAAACGTCGTTAAACATTGCGTATCACATTTTTCCCAGTTTACGTTTAAAAAAAAGAAAATATTTGTTATTATTATTATATATGCATCATCTGTCCAATGTATTCTTTCGTTTCACACCTTTTTTATTTTACTCATATCCCTGAACCTTCTTATTATCGAATTTATCAATTAAAATGACAGTTTTGAATGAACAAAGTTCCGTCAATTATACAAATGCTTCCTGATGGCTTCATTGTTTAGGAAAAAAAAAATTTTTTTGGCCCCGAAGAAAAAACGCGAGATATGATACACCTTATCCCTTATCTTATGTTTATTTCCACTTTTCAAAAAGGAATCCTCTTATCGCTTATTTATTTGTGTATTTACCATTTAACAAATTTTTTTTTTTTTTTAAAAAAAAAGCCACACCTTCTTGATCAGTATCCTGTGCGCACATTTTACCTATTATTATTTATTATTATTATTGTTGTTGTTGTTGTTATCAAATTTCTCATCAAATGGTATCATCCTGTTTCGTAAAAATAATAAGGGTTCATGTGTCTGCTCATTGTTTATTGAACTCTTGAATTTTCCACCCTAACGCGATCCCCCTTTACGAATGAAATTTTTTAAGCAATTAACTCACGGCATGGCAAATTGAATTTTTTTTTTTTGGCGGGAACATGATGGTTACAATGTTTTGCATGAAACATAATTTTTCTTGTGTGTTTGTTTTTTACTTTAAAAAAATAGTTTTTTTTTTTTTTTTTATCCAATCCAATAAAACCAATTAATTTTGTATATTCGGATGTGTATATATGTAGTAGATTGATTAATTAATTACCCTTGATATCACATTTCTTGATCATCGGATATTTTTTTGGCGATTGACCTTTTTTTTTTAGCATTTTTTTTTTTTGATCTTCGGGTAAATGAGGTAAATTCTTGAAATATGCTTGGTACCTTGGCGCGACAAAAACAATAATAATTACCCTGCATATTTATTACTACTAATAATACGCGAGAGTGAGATGTTATAGGGTCATATTTATCGAATCTACCGTGTATCAAAAAAAAAAAAAAATTTGTAAAACTTGATCCCGAATTAAATAAGCAAATTAATCATTTCAACCTCCGTCGTTTAAAAAAGAAAAAAAAAATCAAAAGAAAGTATATACACACGCATACACACACCGGTTGTTATGTTATGATATGCGTCCGTATTTTTTTTAAAAAAATGATTCGCCTTTGGCGTGAGGCGGCGATTCGAACGAGAGAGCGGTGATAACGAGATTCGTCAACCCTTAAACGCACATCACGAACTTATGAGGTTTATCTATTTTTTTTTCCTATTAAGATGGTGCCTTTTGACAAGGGTGAGCCGACATCCAATATTTTTAGGGGTCAGGGAAATTCCATGTCTTACCTGGGGTGGTACCCTCGGAAAAGTATCCGGTGAAGGAAATTATTTTTTTTTTTTTTTAATGTTTCTCAGGATTTGTAATATAATTGACATGTTCATATAAATTAACATAATGATTTACATAATTTAAAAAAAAAATAAACCCTGAATTCCGAAGATTTAATCGTTATAGATTTTATTGTTGTGTGACGACAATTAGTTCAGTTTAGGTAAGAAAATAAATAACAATGATCGATTTTATTATACAATCAATATAAATTTTATTATAGCACAAAATCTGAAACCTATCTATATTCGTATGAATAAACATATATACATACGTAACGTTACAGGTTGTAAATAAAATTTATTAATTGACTGGGTACGTTTTACTATTTTTCCAAGGGTTGGTGCATATATTATTAACCTAGTACCCTAGTGAAGATTTACATATAAAAAAAAGCCATGATTTCATTACCTTTTTTTGTTAAATCAAAATTATTATACCGCATCTTACAATTCCACTTTTTTTATATCGCTATTATTCAACTTAAGTACCGTGATATATATTTTCTTAGTCAAAGGGTTGAAATACAAGAATATGTTCATGATAATGATATTATTCTACTAAGAAGCTCCAGTGGTGTAGTGGTTATCACGCGTGCTTCACACGCACGAGGCCCTCGGTTCGATCCCGAGCTGGAGCAACTTGTTATTTTAAAAAATCGACCATATGATATTTACGATCTTTTTCTAATTTTTTATTTTGCATGTGACTTTTCATAACATAAAAAAAAAAATAAAAATTGATTTAATTTTTTTATTTTAATCTTAATGGATTTATTTTATCTTAAAAAAAAAAAAATTTTACATTATCAATTCGCATAAAAAAAAAGAATACCCGATCACCTTTTTACCTTTTTTATTTAATCTAATTTTTTAAATTAATCGATACGCATAAAAAAAATATATCATGAAATCCATCATTTGACAAGGAAAGAAAAAAGAATCGAGGTGATCGGGGAAAAAAACAAATTTACAATTGTTCATTTTGTTATAAATCCTCCGAAAAAAAAAAGGGGGAAGAAAAACGTATCAAAAAGGATGAAAAAAGAAAAAAAAAAGAAAGGATAAAAACCCCAATGTCCGTCTAATTTTTGTGGTGTTATAAATTTACAAAGAGGAGAGTTTTTTTTTAAAAAAAAAAAAAAAAAAAAAAAAATCGTGCGCCCTCAAAAGCAAAATAGTTACTAACTAAGCAGGGAACACTATTGTCTAAGGAAGCTGGAGACTAGAAATTTAAAGATTTCTTTTTTTTTTTTTTTTTTTTTTTTTTTTTACAGTTTCTATTTTGCAATCAATATATATATTTGTTGAAAGTAGGTACCATCATCTTTCGTTTGATGCTTTATATGTTTTGTCTATAAGGACGCTAATGTAATTTAGATAATCTTAGGTTTAATATCAAATGATATTATCTATATTAAAAATGATATTAGGTAATGTATGTCAGAGCCCTAAAATGTAGTAAGTAGTATGTATTGATACTGTATTTATTGTGAGTCTATGTCTGGTTCCTGACGCCATTCGATATATATCTCTTAACCAGGAATTCTAAAATCTTTTTATCAAGGTCTATGGCCACCTTCTCTACTTCTCTGATTTGGTTCTCGTCCAAAAATATCAACGAATCCTTCACGACCACTGTGTCTCATCACATCAAATATGTCTCTCGCGTTAACAGGTGTACCGAGTGGATCAAAATCTTCATTCATATCATCACTGCTCCCAATTTCATGATGACGATTACTTCGAATGTCATCTTGAAGGAACATATGACGACGATGATTATGAAAGTGTGAATGATGATGATAATGTAGATGATGATGATGATGCCTGTCATCATTATCATCGATACTACTATCAAGAATTTCATAATCCTCATCGGGAGGAGTTGGCGTCGACGGAAACGGTGGAGGAAGAGCTATAAAACGTAAATGACCCCCATCATGAACGTTTAAGGGTGGACTTGGCTGTGGGAATACACGAGCGGGAATATTACCAAACTGAAAGTGATTATCTGTCATGGGGAAATGATGATTTAAAGGGTTGTCGGATAACCTGCATATCTGAACGGGTTGATTATTTTGATGTTGTATTTGAACCTGATAACGAGGTTGATTTGGTTGTCCGTCCTATTAACTCAAAGAAATTTGAGTCTGTAAATTCATTAAAGTACAAGAGAAAGAATTGAAAAACACAAGCTTAATTCGTAAAGAAAAAGTTTGAATAATAAATTTTACCTCAATGGGTTCAGGAATGTTTGGTGTCATCCCTGACACGGACTTTACGGCGATTAGGATACCACCCCGATATGAATTAAGGTTCTCGATTTCTGATTGATAAACGAACGCCAACCTATTAATGGTTAAAAAATGTACGCATTGAGTGGGTGGGTAAACGGGAGATTTGGATGAAATTTTTAAACACGACTGACCTTGAACTTTCTTCGGATTCATATATATTTTTAATACTGGTGTCAACCTCTTGTTCAGCCCTTTCTAACTCTTGACGTTCGGATTCCAAATTTTCATTTGCAGCCCTGAGTTCTTCAATTCTCCGTTTATAGTCTTGGCGTATAGCTGGTTGTTGCTGTTGTGTACCCCTGTAAGAATTATCATTGGTGATGATTGTGAAAATTATTTACGCGATTATATCACCAATGGGCAAGGAGAATGCGCATTTCTGTTGTACAAAGCAAAACCATAAAATTACAAGAGCTTTGCTCAACTAAAAAACAAATATAACACACACACTTACTTCCAACGAACATGATTCTTTGAATTTTTTTCAATTAAACCAATTCCTTCCAACACGTTTGTAATATCGTAAATTCTTCGCTTTTGAACTTCTAAGGCGGTTGCTGCTGTGTTTAGGTCCAAGTCACCATCCTTTGCTCCCATAAGTAGATTCACAAACTTTTTGGTAAGTAGACCGAGAGAACTGTCATAACGACATGAGCCGGCGACGACAGCACCGGAGGTGTCTTTAACATACAAAAAAAAAAATATATATATATATTTATAAAATACTTTAGAAGGTACAGTTCAGACATCATAGCTCATTTCAAGAGAAAGGCGGAAGAGTTGTTGTTACCGTTCGTCGGAGATTCCAACGGAGTTTGCTTTTTAGGTGTACTTTTCCTCCGAGCTTGTCGAGGTGGTTGTGTGAATGGATTTGACCTTGTTGAAGATGAGGGAGGATTGAGCCTTTGTGAAGCGGTACCTCGACGGGAGTTGGCGGAAGGAGAGTTCAATGACATATCTTGTAGAAGGTTTTTTTTTTTTTTTTTTTCTATTTTTCCTTTCCGCTTGTAGGTTGACCGAAATAAAAATAAAAAAAAATGAATCTAATGATATGCGGTGCAATAAGATATTGATGAGACGTCACCGAGCGTTTTTTTTTCCCTTAATGAAAGAACCCTAAAAAAGCTCGTTATGTGATCATTAGCCAATAACATATTGTTAAAAATAATATGCATTGGATAATTTTAATCTATCCGCGTAAATGGCGCGCGGGGAATAGTTCTAACTGGTGCGGGACCATTGTAGGTACTTAGAAACCTTCTAAATGAAGCATAATTGCTGTGGTAAATTTTACCAAATGAGTGAAGAATGGCCGAAGAGTTTTTGTTTAATTGGTAAAAAAAAAAAAAAAAAAAAAAAAAAAATTGATAATGATAATGATAATAATGACATGGTTCGTTAAATATTAAAAATCGAGTAATTCACAAACCCTAATGCTAATAAAATTATCATCTTTGTTCTCTTAATTTGGGGATTTTTCAACAAAATTTGATAAAATTGCTCTTTTTGGTTTGGAATACGCGCAAAGGGAACCTTTCTTCCTCATTGTGGCATTGTTTTCTGAATGACAACTAATACAACCTTTAATGTTGCACCATTGTTTTGAAGAGTGCACAAAATTACACCAAAATAACAATGAAATTTGGAAATACAATGAACAATATTTTTAATTTTACGATCAACAGTCAGTTTGATCGAATGCGGTAAATTGTATATTCGGAATTCCCGATGGTGATACCGAATAAGAAATGGTGTTATCGATTTCCTAATTTTTCATCTAGGCTTTTGCATAATTCGGCGCTAAAGTGAAGTATGCAATTTGCCGCAAGATTAGAATAAAGAACTGTTGAACCTGCATTTAAAGTGTTTCGAATTTATGAAGTGAGGTAGATAAAAAAAAAAAAAAATCTAAAAATAAGCAAAGTGTCGTAATGAATTTACTAAAGTAGTTTTAAGCCACCGAATTTTAAAGAATTCACTTATTAAAATCACATTGTTCTAAATTTATTTACTATCCTTATAATGGAAAGATTAAATTTCTTTATATAAATATAATTCTGGCCGGAATTGTTTAATTTATTAAAATTTACTATTGCTCACCAATAATATCAGACCATCTTTTATCTTTTAATTCCCCAAGGATACCATCTTTAAGTTCTCTTGCTTTACCAACACCATCATACACAAAACTGGTGTATAATTGTACTAAAGTTGCACCTGCTCTTGCATATTCAATTGCATCTTGAGCATTTGAAATTCCCCCACAACCAATCAATAAAAGTTTTCCATTTGTATGTTGGTATATTTTACGTAATGCTTTTAACGATAATGGTTTAACTGGTGGTCCCGATAAGCCTCCGGTTTCAGATATTAAAGAAGGATCTTTTTTTTTTTAAAAAAAAAAAAAAAAAAAAAAAAAAAAAAAAAAAAAGAGAATGTAATTTCAAATCAAAAAGGATTAAAAAAAATTTTTTTTTTTATACAAACCACTTTGTAATATGTCTGGTCTTGATATGGTCGTATTGGACACAATAACGCCATCCACGCCAATATTCAAAGCTGCATCTGCAATGTCTTCTAATTCTTCATCGGAAAGATCAGGTGCAATTTTAACCAATATGGCCGGACGCGGTTCATGTAACGAATTACGTGCATCCGTGACCTAAAAAGAAATTGACGATAAAGAGAATCTTTGTTCAGTAAAGCAAAAACAGAAATGACGAGTTCATGAGTTTTCTGCCGTACTTGCCTCTTTTAACAATTTCTCAAAGATCCCTTTCCTTTGTAATCCTCTTAATCCAGGGGTATTGGGACTACTGACATTTATCACCAGTACATCGGCATAACTTCCAAGGGTCTTTACTCCTTTAACATAATCCTGAATATCTTCAGCGTCCTTCCATTTGTTTTTTCCTAAATTAATTCCCAGCAATTTTCCCTCTTTTAAACTTCTATTTGTTCCCAACGCATCAGACAATGACACACCATCTGGTGATGAGGCAAGCAGTGCCGCAGTCGTCCTAGGATGAAGTTTCGCTGAATGATAAAGGTAACGTCTTACGCGATCACGTAGTCTTAATTCCACCTGGTTGTGACCATCAGAATTGAAACCATAACGATTTATCACGGCCTTGTCTTCGGGAAGACGGAAAATTCGTGGTTTTGGATTTCCAGGCTTTGAACATTATTGACAAGTTATCGGAGACAAATTAATTTTTTTTTTTAGAAATAGATGAGAAATGATTTATGAAATGAATGATACCTGAGGTTCGGGAGTTACACTTCCTATTTCAACATATCCAAATCCAAGGTCAAACAAACCATCAATGGCTTCCCCATGTTTATCAAATCCTGCTGCTAAACATATCGGATTAGATATCTTTTTACCCCATACCTAATCAAAAAATTTAATGAAATTTTCACAAATAAAGATTTTAAAATACTAACCAAAATAATTATCGAATTAAAAAAACTCGCGATTATGCTTTTACACAAATCATAAAGTTAATAATGAAAAAACGGTATGAAATGTATAAAATTCTGGTTTACCTCAACAGAAAGCCTTTCATCGTCAGGTAATCTATCTTTAGCATTTAAGCCCCATTTGGAAATCCATATGGCAAATTTATGACTTGATTCTGGAGTAGTTACATTTCTCAACAAGGGCGTAAAAAGATATCTGTGAATTGCTGCTCTAGAATCAAAATAATATTCTATAAAGAAAATCGAGGCAAAGACACTAGTTGTTCCAATAAGGAAATTCTTTAATTTATAAGTAGGTGTCGGGGCTTTAATTGAAGTAGTTGTGAGAGTTCGCTGAAAAGTAGGTGGAATTTTATAAGCATTGCGTGAAGAGTAGATAATAGAGTAAGATACTCGCGATGATAATAGTTCCCTAGTTGTATAGGATAAAATCCGAGAGGAATTCATTATAATAATTGACTACATATATTCGAAAAACTTAAAACCTTTTTTTTTTTTGGATCAAAAAAAAAAAAAAAATTTGAATTAAGGTTTCAAAAGTGGACTAGCCAAATAAAATATGAAAGTGATCTTGCTTTAGCGCCGGTAAAAATTTCTCTAAACGGCAATTGATCAGGTGATTATTACAAAAAATTACATTTTTACATTTAATGTGACATAAATATTTGTATTATGTATTCGAATTTTTTTCTTTCAAAAAATTTTTTCTTTCCCATTTGAACAAAACGTTCAAATATGCCTATCATAGTCGACAGTCAAGAACAGTTCGATAAATTTATCAGTAATGGAAAATTAGTATGTTAAATGAATAAAATTTTTAAATTTAATTCATTCTATTACGATAACTTTAATAAATTGGTCTTTTTTAATGAAATGTACAAAGGTTATCGTTGATTTTTGGGCAGATTGGTGCGGTCCATGTAGAATGATTACCCCCAAATTTGATGAACTCTCAAAGACTTACCCAGAAGTTATCTTTCTAAAAGTCAATACAGATGAACATGAAGTATACAAATCTCTTTTTTATTGGTTTTTGAAATTTTAATTTTTTAAAAAAATTTAAAAAATGTTTATTTATATTTCAATAATAATAGAAATTAATGCATGAACAAGAAATTAAATCGTTGCCAACTTTTCGCTTTTTCAAAGATGGCAAAACTATCAAAGATGCTGACGTTATTGGAGCCGATCCGAGAAAATTGGAAAAAATGATTAAGGATCAACTTGGTTTATCATAATTTTTTTTTTATTAATTATAGGTCATCTGATAATCTAATTTAATAAAATATCAAATTAATAATTACTTTAATTACTGTGAAAAAGGATACTTGGACTCATTTACGTAGAATTGAAAAAACCAATTACCAATAAGTAAATTCTTACTAGTTTACAATTTTAAAGATCATGAAATTATCTAATAACTTTCCGTATGTTAGACCACCCTTCCGAAAAATTAAGTGAAAATACCCCAAGTTAGATAATTAGAGAGATTTACGAGAAAAAGAAATGTTTGGACTCGAATACTCATCCAGAAGTCAAAACATATCAACCTTTCTTGTTGAACAATAAACAAAATCTAGAAATACTTGAAGCAAATTGATTGGTTTCGATAAGATAATGAACTTAAATGAAGAAAATTAAGGAATCGAAACATTAAAGTACATCATTATGGTTACAGAGTGAATTGCTTACCACGAATTCATTTGCATCGTCAATTAAATGCTGGTACATGAACGGGCAAACCAGAGTCTTGGATTCTCAGATGCTATAAATTTGAGAAATTGAATACTTCATCAAAGCCATACAAAATTATAAACAAGAGATTAATAACAACCAAAAAATAATGAAAGTCAATACAAATTCAGATTATTAATCACATGATAAACGCGTTCCAATAGCATGTGATCTCAGGGCTAAAGATAATTTAAAAAACATCTCGCGTTGTACCCAAATTGAAAGAAAAATTTATAAGCACAAGTTGAAGTTTGAATATTTCAAAACAAATCGGAACTTAAATTTGCCATGATCTGCTACGATATTCTGGATGGTTCGTTCAACATTCTAAAAAAAGATCTGATTAATTTTTATTACACAATAAAAAATTACCCTAGTACAAAAAAAAGTTGCATAAATATTGTCACGAATTTAATCACGTGCACCACTTAAAAGAAATATGTCTTGTTTATTTCTCATTCGCGTTTCTCCTATAGTTTATTAGAAAGAATTCGTACCAATTAACTATTTTAAGTAAAAATGAGCGTTGTCAACATTATAAACATTAAAGTTATCAATAACCCTACTTTGTTCACAGCGGACTACCAGTTTGAAATTACCTTTGAGTGTATTTCCGAACTTGTAGACGGTATGTGCTTTCATTTACATAAAGTTGTTTGATTTTAGTTAATTAAAAGTAATAGTGTAGAAATTCAGCAACGATCTCTTTTATAGTCTGATAAAACTTACATTTTTTTTTGTTTGAAGAGCATATTTAAGCTTTTGCTCACGAATTGACGTTAGGGAAGCGTAATTTATACGCGTTTCACACATATAAGAATATTATTGATAATTTTAAATACGTTAAATAGTTTGTATATTACTTTTAAAAAAAGTACTTGATATTAACTTGTTTTTTATTTTTTTCTTTTTTCTCCTATTAGATTTGGAATGGAAAATAATTTACGTAGGATCCTCGGAAAGTAAAGAATATGATCAGGTTCTTGACAGCATTATGGTTGGACCTGTACCTCCTGGTGTGAATCAATTCATATTTCAGGTATTGAACACAATATATTTTACTTTAACAAAGGGTTTTAATTGTCAAGGAAACTTAATAATGAATTTACAGGCGCCGGCACCTAACCCTGATCGTATACCCCCTAGCGATCTCTTGGATGTCACTGTAATCATTATTACGTGTTCTTACAGAGATCAAGAATTCGTTCGTGTAGGGTATTATGTTAATAATGAGTACATCGAAGAAGAATTGAGAGAGAATCCGCCGGATAAAGTTATATTCGATAAACTTTATCGAAACATTTTGGCGGATAAACCTAGGGTGACTCGGATGCCTATCAAATGGTTAGTTTGTTTATTATTTTTATTTTGTAAATTATGTATTTAATAAGAAGTGATATGAATACCAATTTGTTCAACTTAAGGGATGACTTAAGGGATAGTCAAGGCCTAATATGTAGTGATGTGTAGTTATTTTTTGAACTTTCTCCCAAATAACGACCTAGATTCTCATGATGCGATCATATCCATCAATAAAGTATTCGATTCTTGGCATCTTGATACAGTTTTACCTCTCATGCAATTCCGCGATTATTCTAATTTTTTTTTTTCTTTATTGTATAAGTACCCAATATAATGAATAAAATTTACTCACATTCCGAGCTTTATATATATATATATGCGAAATACATGATCAATATTTTTGGCAAATTTGTATGAGTACGTGATATAAAGTCACGCAGTGAAAAATTTAAATAAATTAGCGGATTATATAAAAGTTATTACCAATTTGTTGAGACAAAGAGGAATGTTAAGCTCCTGGCTGAGAATGATAAAAAATTCAAAATTAAGACATGCTACGGAGAGAATGCTATCGGACTCGCAAAACTAGAGCAGAGCGACAAAGATCATTGCAAAACTAATAAATATTTGGGAAAATCCAGTAGGTGCGAATTGTTATTGATGTTTCTGCAAAAGCCAGCAAATCTTCAATAAATCTCCCATTTATTTAGAAATACAGGTACAGTAACTTTGAAATCATTTTGTTCCATAAAAACCGTTTGGTAATCACGTCTAAATTAAAAACCAGCTGCTTGGCGTTAGCGAATTCAGTATTACGTATAAGTTATGATTTCATGCTTTTCCCTTTTTTTTTGCGATATAGCATTCATTTACATGATGAATTTCCGAAATGAAGAAAATTCTTTCGTTGATCAGTTTGTCATAAAACGTTAATTTCATTGGATTTACTTTAAACGGTGATAGTTAAAACGCGATGCATTTATTTGGATAAAATGAGATAACTAAGTTTCCCCAAAATGTTTATTCCACAAATCGATTCTTAGAGCTTGTGCGAGTAAAAACCAAAACAAAAATTTCATTATCAATTCATTAATCAAACGACCGACCCAAAGAACGTGAGAAAGTTATGTCGATTTTGATTCAAAGTCTGATCTACTGTCTCAGATTTCATGACGTAACGTGCATAAAAAAATCAGTGACCTAATCCCGACAGCATAATGCTGGTCAATTTATCACATGCACGTGCATAACTCAAACTGTCGGCTATCCTTATAAAACACGCGAAACGAAAAACATATTTTTTCCAGACCAAAAAAATAATACACGTCCTATATTTCCTATAAGTTGTCCAAAAGTAAAATGCCTTACTATGAAAATATACTATATTACCAGAAAAAGATCTCTAGCATAAAATCATTCTCATCTGAAAGAAACATAGTGATTTTTTTAAGGAGCTATGCGTTGCTTCTGAGTCCGCAAAGATACTGACGAAGACGTGAATGTAAATGAATACTTTAAAAAAGGCGAGGCTCAAAACTGGAAAGTTGGAACAACTAAAGTCTGCCAATATTCGATATGACGATAATATTTTATTTCCCACCATAAATATGGATATAACGATATTTTCTTATAAATCCAGCAACATCATTATATCGAGTGATGCCTAAGGCTTACTCTTAAATAATTTGTCAATCGACATAGATGGCAAGTTATTATTTGATGCACAGTTTTTGACTGCTATCGTGAAGAATGAAAGCATAATTCCACCTGGGCAAAAATCATGAAGACATCATTATATCAAGTAACGCCCAAGGCTTGCTCTTAAATAATTTGTCAATCGAAACAGATGGAAAATAGTTATGTCGTATAAATATATAAAAATATGTAAACGTCGTGTCTTTTTTTCACACTTTCAAAAACAACTCTTTAAAGTCATCTTTTACATTATTATTTGATGCATAGGCTTTGACTAAGTAATCCTGAAGAATGAAAACATAATCTCACCCTGGGAATAAATTTATGAAGACATCATTATTTCGAGTAGCGCCAAAGGTTCGCTGTTGAATAATGTGTCAGTCGACATGGATAGCAAAATAATATTTGGTGCACGAGTTTTGACTGTTATCTTGAAAAAGTTGAGGCTCAAACTGGACAACTGGAGTGATTTAATTGCTTATAGGGATTTATTTAATCTTTTAGTGGCAATAGAGCTATTGACATCTTCTTACAGAAAGTTGATTTCACGTCAAAGCGGAAATGCTGATCGAGCCGATGGAATTGCATACACCACAAATTCAAATTCTGATATACAAACTAAAAAATATATATAATATATTTCATTGAAAATAATTTCGATAATAAAATAAAATAAATAAAATATTTTACCAAACGATAATTTATTGTTACATGAAAGAAGACATGGATGATGATGATCTTACGAGATTTGTGTGGTAGAAGGTAGCAAACACTAAAGTCTGACCTCAATATACCGATATTCGATATACCGATATAGATTAAAAATTTGATACTACCATCACTACTATCACCATCATTACCATCACCACCGCCAACAACACAATTACAACCACCATATTTTACATCGGAAGGTGTAAGATTATCAATTGATCATAACTGGTTCGTTTCAACAGGATCCTACATAGCCCCATGTTACATATGTAATTATTTTGGACATTATAACGATAATTTTTTATTTCCTCACCATATATAACATATGAATGAATATTGGTATAATTTGGATTTATTGTGATATTAACCGAATACGCTTCTAAAAAAATGGATCTAATCATCTTATTGCGAAATGAAATCCTCTCACTAGGACTCACGGATAAAACCAATTATCGAAAGGATCATTCAAATCTTAAGGTAGTAATGAAAGGTTTTTAGATACATTGCGAACAAAATTACATTTCAAAGGCAGAATTTCGTTCTTGGCATCCAAATTACTACCGATCATATTACTTGATTTTATGTAAATATTAAAAATTATTTTATTTAAATAACTATTTATGTATATCCTTATTTATTTTTAATTAATAATAAAATAATAAAAAGTTGTTTAAATTATTTATCAATCTATTTTAGAAAGATTGTTATAGTAATTATAAAACATAATAATTTAGTATAGCATTGGCATTAAAGCTTTATATAAATCAAACTGTTTACAAATCAAATAAGCTACTTCGTTTAGGATTAGTTCAAGTCATTAAAAAAAGCACATAATCTAATAAACCAATCTGTATTATAAGCAGGTTATATATAGCATAAGCTAATTTATCTGATATTTTCTTTAAAATAAACTAACTCTATAAGTTTTTTTCTTTGAAAAAAAAAAAAAAAACATTAGAAATATTTTCTTTAAAAAAAATATTTTAATAGTATTTTCTTTGAAGAAATATGATATCAAAGTATTTATTTTAAAGAAATATAACTTTAGTATTAATTTTTTAATGAAAAATACTATTAATATTATTAATATTAGAATACATTTTTAAAGAATACAATTCCAAATATTTTCTTTAAAAATAATACATTTTCTTTAAAAAATATCTCTAAAATTGTTTTTTAAGTATTTTAATGACTTACTGTATAATTACATAATAAATGTTTAATGAAGATTAAATGTTTGTTCTTCTTAAACTAATAAATTGAATTATAAAATCTCAGCTCTGATATACAGTATATAAACAACATTTTTTGGATGACTAGATCCTAATAAAATCTATCAAATATCACTACATTATTAACAGTTTTTACAAGTTTAATGACATTCAAATCAATTGGTCTAAATCTGAATTACTAGTTAATAACTAATAATTAGAACATTTTATCATTCACTTATGTTACATTATTCAAAAGATAACATATAATATTTAGGTGTCTAGATCTTATTATAATCAAATAATACTTATAAATATAGATAACTACAATTAAAAATGAAAAATAATATAACTATCATGAAAAATAAATATCTGATAGATTTATAATTAATATATATTATAACATAGTTTTTCTTATTTATATGGAATACAAGTTGCAGTTCACTTTATCTTCTACTGTCTAATGTAAAAAAGTCATAGCTATAAACTTAATTTTTATTAAAAAACTGAAATTCTTATAATACATGTCATTAAACCTTCTTTACTTGTATTACTTTTATAATTTAATCCTTTATACTAATGGCTTTTATAAAATTTTATTATTGCATTATTATAAATAATAAATAAAATAGTATTTTTAGTTTATTCTTTTAAGTTAGAATTAAACAACTTTAATTTAAAGAGTAGTTATTTAAAAGCCTTTTAGTTTATTATCTATATACCAAATCTAATAAAAATGATTATTAATTTCTGTCACTTTTATGTATACTTAAAATGTGTGAATATCTTTAATAATATCTAAAAATATATACTATTTCATTTTTAAAAGAATGTATATGATCTCTAACCTAATTTTTAATTAATACAGAACTTTTGTATAAGATTTGAGAAAATGCTCTATTTTCAATGTAAAATAATTATTTAGCTGTTATAGAAATTAAATATTCATATATAATGACCTTTACTCTATCATTAATGCAGAAAAATATTTTTACAAAATATCTAAATAATTTATAGTAATAGAGTAAGTACTTTTTCAATTTAAACAATAATCACCTTTTGCATTCTTTTACTTCATATAAATATAATTACTACTATAGTTATAAAACATGTCTTATTAATCATACTTTAGATTAAAAAACTTTATTATTAGTTAGAATACAGTTGACAATCCTTTCATTATAAGTAGAGCTATCAGGTTTGATGATAATACTATATATATTAAACATTACTTACCATTAATTGATCCCTAATATTATACTATTTTTTAAAATTATAACTATTACTCTTACTATCAGAATAATACATATAAGATAAATTACAATCAATAAAATGCTTTCTCATAATTTTAAGTAGATTGTACATCTTCATTTTAATCAAGTTCAGAAATCATTATTATAATTTCTTATACATAATACTTTCTTTAAATATTTTACATAAACTTACATTAACTTATTTTTTTCTAATTTTAATTCAGTATTTTTAATTATTCCTTAGACTTTTATTCTAATAACCTTTTCTAATCTTATTAATAAATATATACCCCCTTTA